CCAATCTCGCAAGGGTCAGTATAGACTTATAGTATAAATGTATATTATATTAATGTATATTATAGTAAAAATATGTCATAAAATATAAATTTTAAAATGAAATTGACTTGCCTATTTGATAGTGTGTGTTCTCCTTTTGTTCCTCCTTTGTTGGACTAATATTTTCCGAGACTTTGTACTCAATGTTACTAGTATACATGAAACATGATAAAGGCTAACTATTCCCGATCGTCGATACGACGCAACGGCACTTCAAATCGAAAATTTTCACACTCAAATCGCTTTATTCTCCAAAACAATTCGCCAGCATGTACAACAAATGCCGTTCTTGGAAAATACGGAGGTACTTCGGCGAGATGTACAAGTTTTGGACCATATTTTAACAATGGAAATCAAAACCCATTTTATATTGAACTTGCCCAGGCCGAAAATTACTACGGCGAACGTCTGCGCAACCAGGCCTCCTTTACCGTTAGATTTACAGGGGGGGAAGCAGATATTTCCGGTAACAGCCAGCCAATCGCGGCCGCGATAGCGACTGTTTACGTTTTTGAAATTTGATATTCAAAATAAAAACTCCTTCGATCGGATACTGTATAAAACTCGAGATGTTGTCGAAGGAAAGAAAATTAAACGACGGAGATTGAAGAAATTTAAGGAAGAAGTAATATACAGCGGCTCTTTGTTGGAAAGTATGGTAGAATATGATACTTAATTCGAAATATTATCGTGAATATATTAGTGGCATCCTCCCCCCTGTAAATCCAACGGTAGAGGAGGCCTGGTTGCGCAGACGTTCGCCGTAGTAATTTTCGGCCTGGGCAAGTTCAATATAAAATGGGTTTTGATTTCCATTGTTAAAATATGGTCCAAAACTTGTACATCTCGCCGAAGTACCTCCGTATTTTCGAAGAACGGCATTTGTTGTACCTGCTGGCGAATTGTTTTGGAGAATAAAGCGATTTGAGTGTGAAAATTTTCGATTCGAAGTGCCGTGGCGTCGTATCGACGATCGGGAATAGTTAGCCTTTATCATGTTTCATGTATACTAGTAACATTGAGTACAAAGTCTCGGAAAATATTAGTCCAACAAAGGAGGAACAAAAGGAGAACACACACTATCAAATAGGCAAGTCAATTTCATTTTAAAATTTATATTTTATGACATATTTTTACTATAATATACATTAATATAATATACATTTATATTATAAGTAAGTCTATACTGACCCTTGCGAGATTGGGCCGCCTGTGTTTCGACACTCCAATCTAGTGTCTTCAACAGGGGTGATCTAAATTTGCAATCGTGGCTTCTTAAATACCCAAGGGATGACGTCACCTGCCAATGAGATGCATATATTCCTCTGACAAATAGGCACCGTCATTTATATTCAAAGCATGATTACTCATATTTATATGCCACGCTTCTAGGCAAAGTCTTTGACCATAGCGATTGTTTGTGGTAATTACGAGTTTTCCCGCGCAATCTCGTTTTTGGTGTAACATACATGTTCGGCTAAAGCTGATTTTCCCTTGTCTAAAGTTGAAACAGCCTTTTCATGTTCTTTTAGCCGTGTACCAAACTGGCGTTGAGACTGACCCAAATACTCTTTCTCGCAGTCACCGCATGGTATAGAATATACACTAGGAGTTTTCTGATTTGTTTTAACCGGATCTTTTGGCTTTGCGAAAATATGGCCTAAAACCTTTTTTGACTGTAGGTCATATTTTTGCAAAGCCAAAAGATCCTGTTAAAACAAATCAGAAAACTCATAGTGTATATTCTATACCATGCGGTGACTGCGAGAAAGAGTATTTGGGTCAGTTTAAACGCCAGTTTGGTACCCGGCAAAAAGAACATCAAAAGGCTGTTTCAAATAAAGACAAGGGAAAATCAACTTGTTACACCAAACACGAGATTGCGTGTGAAAACTCTACAGTAATTACCACAAACAATCGCTATGGTCAAAGACTTTGCCTAGAAGCGTGGCATATAAATATGACTAATCATGCTTTGAATAGGAATGACGGTGCCTATTTGCAAAAGAATATATGCATCTCATTGGCAGGTGACGTCATCCATTGGGTATTTAAGAAGCCACGATTGCAATTTTAGATCACCTCTGATGAGGATATTAGATTGGAGTGTCGAAACGTTGGGTTCTGATTAAAATTCGACAGGGCTTTGTAATCATATATTTAACCCAAGAGTAGCGAGCGAAACATGATTGTTTTATTTTGTTAAAATAATATACCAAAACAATTATTCGCCTCAAGCTCAGTGATTATTGGTGAATATTTACCACGACTTCGTCTCGGTGAACATTATACAAATAACGAATGTTTATGAGAACAATGGCAAAAATATTTTCATGTTTCCATTCGACGAAGGCGATAGGCGTTTGGAATGGAAAATTCCATCTTTCACCGAATGAAAATATTTTTATTATGCACGAATGAAAACATTCATTATTGTAAACATACGTTGGTGTAGGTGTCTTAATGTCTTAATGGAACTTTACTTTCAGATTACGACGAATGCAATCCTGCAGTGTCTGTCCACACGCCTGATTGTGGTAACAATGCAACATGTGTCAACACAAATACAAGTTATGACTGTATCTGTGATGCAGGATTTATTCAAAATGGTACCGGATGTAGTAGTAAGTATGAACATCCTTGGTATCCCACGGAAATTGTGTGTACATGCATGTTCCTTTTACAAATTAATAGAATTCTAAAATTATGCTAATGTGATATTGTACGAAAATCGTCAGGTCACGTGAACATTTTTCGCTTTTGATGACGTCCACATGTGGTGAAAACTTGGTCATGCTTCCAAAAAAATATCGTTATCATTATGAGGCCACTCATATGTAAAGTAAAGTCACCTCATTAAATCAAAATCCTCCATCCCGTTATATCACATATATATAACTAGAAATACATGCATGCAGCAACCCCTCGCCTATGTTTTCCAAACATTGACTTACATGAAGTACTGTATTAGTAATTGATCAACGCTGAACGCAGGCTCGCGTTTACGACAGTGTTGTCATGGCAACACGACAATCTTAATTAAATTTTATATTTTTTTGAAAAAGACGCCAAAAATAATTGAAAGATTATTGCTTTTAATTATATAACAATCAATTTCCGAATTATATACTGCTGGTATGTTATTTTGCTTTTTGTGAGCTTTCATTTAATATAAAATTTAAACTGAATCGCTTCGTAAAATGTTTTGAAATGTACATTTTGATAACTAAACTGCTTTTGTCGTGTTTGCCGATGAACTGTTTTTAACACATATAAGTTCAAATTGTGGAGTAATTTCAGTTAGGTCTTCAAATTAATTTGTTCTCCTTTACATTTTACCTTTTTTTCTTGAATTAAACAGGGTAATTTAGGAAACTTACAGCTTGACTGAAAGAGAAAGCTGCATATGTACTTTTAATACGCAAGAAATTATTAAAAGCAACAAAATTTATAACAATAACATTCAAAGCAAACTTGCACCATATTTCACGATTCCCATAGTAAATCAATTCTTCTCATTTCTTCAAACAAAAATTGCTTCAAAGCTCATTGTATGAAACGTGATTTTCCAAATATATGCTTTTGAAAATTGAAATCTTGCTTATCCCACTCCTAGCAAACAGCCATATTTTTAAGATCAGTGAGGAGGTCCACCCATGAACCATAGTCACGCGCCCGCTATAATTGATGAACTTTAGACTTCGCTAATGCTTTCCTTTCTCCGGGTGTAAATAGCCGGGGGGAATTAGTACCCTCGCACGGCGCTTCGCGCCGTCGGCTCGGGTATAATATACATAAAGGTATTACTCGACTGTGATTGGTTGATTTCGGTGCAGTTAATTCCGAACAGCAGTGCAATTTTCTGTAAATTATTGAAAATTCCACTCAGTTTTCTGTAAATTATTGAAAATTCCACTAATAGAACGCTCAATAAATAATGTTTCAACCTGGCTACGCATCTTCTATTTTTTCAAGTGTACGTTTTGTTAGTTTAGGTCAAGGTAAAAGGCTTTTCCATTTAGAAATAAAGATAAAAGCCATATTTTCCACGTGAAGTCAACTTTTACTTTATGTATCGCGGCTCCATGTTCGTTTTGTTTTGAAGCAAACTGTGACCGCTACTTCTTTAAACTAAACTAGTTCCTTGATTTTATCATCACAATGTTTTTCCACCAATCAGTCAGTTTGTTACAGATTTTTGCACTGTTGTTACAGACTTTTGCACTGCTGTTTGTGATTAACTGCACTGGAATCAACCAATCACAGTCGAGTAATATTTTTATGTATATCTTATTATGGCATTAATAGAACTCCTATTCGTTCTATTACCATATATCATTAATTGCACTGACCAGGAGTGGAATTAATCGGATTTGAAAAAAAACCCTGGCTCGTTTTGTAAATACGAACGAATCTACAATTTACTTAGTTCTAACAAAACTAGCAGAAAATGAAAGCACACAAAAAATGACTGACCTAAACTCTCTTGCTGACTAACAACATTTTGAACTTGAACTTTGTTGACGGACTTTTGAATTTTATTGACGAATCAAGAACTTGCGATAGTTTTTTATGTGCTTCGCTTGGACATTTTGAATAAATATTTGAACTTTACATCTTAACCATTTATTGATAAGGAAGACTAAGCTATTTTATTATCGCTAATTTGTGTGTGAACATATATAACTTTTTAAAATCGAAGCAATGGCTCGAGGTTTTAAATTTACAGTGTAATATGTTAAGTTGTACTTTTTAATACAGTATGCAGGTGTTTCTGTAGGCACAGTAAGTTTAAAGTTGTTATATTACCCGCTAACTAATTCAGTTGTTTGGAATTGCTTCGTGCTGCAATATATATACAGCTATATTTCAACTAAGGTTGTCCCCTGAGTAAAGCGGAAAAGTCGAATACGAGCGCGAAAGGCTGCTGGGAATCGCTAATAAATGAATGAATTTATTAGCGATTCTCAGCAGCCTTTCGCGCTCGTATATTCAACTTTTTCGTTTTTTCTCGGGGGACAACCTTAATTGAAATAGCCGTATGTAGTAATAATATAGCTAACTTACTTGTTCAATATGCCCCAGTGGCGGTCTGTATACGAAACTAAGGAGAGAATATAAACCTTATTCTGTGATAGAATATAAACGGTTTATGTTTGCAATATTGAAGTGTATTTCCGGTCTGCGCTGATTGGTTATTATTAATTGACCTCAATCTCGTTCCCCGAGCCTGCGATTCTCGGGAAGGAACGCGAAGCACAGGGATAATCCGTTGCCGAAAGCCAGGAATTGTGGCTAAGATTGAACTACGCATTCCATTTCAACGGCCAATCAGAATTCTCCCTGTAACGGATTATCCCAGAGCCTCGGGTTCCTTCCCGAGGATGCGAAGCTCGGGGAACGGGATTGTAATTGACCTGTGACACCCTAATTGAAAGGCGGCACGCAATCATCATAGGGAGGGGTCCTTGCAGGCTTTCTTTCTCCTAGAGAGCCTGCTCGTGGGCTATCTTAAATAAGTTTTTCCCACAAGCGTAGAAAAAAAGTCAAAAAAGGTTTGCGATTTAAAACATCGCGTAATATAATTTATTGTTTACTATCGAAGCTATATTTCAACGGGTTATGTATTAATAATATGCAAAGTTAGTAAGGAAGTAGAATAATCATGTCCGTGATTTCTGGCTATGACAAAGTAATTTTTGTCTGTGTTTTTTTGGGAGGAAAGCATCACTTGTATTGCCACACGGAGGTGCGACGAGAGCATAAAATGAAGCGAACTAAAAACAAATTTGTCGGATGTCGGTTGCTATTTTCAATTAAATAACTAACTACATAGTCATTTTCTTGAAATAAACTCCAAACCTCTGTTAATATTCTATATGAAATTTGTTGCAGAGTGGATTCACTGACCAAGAAATAAATTAAAGTTTTACAACTAGAAATACATGCATGCAACAACCACTCGCCAATATTTTCCAAACATTGTTTCAACATGAAGTATTCGTAATTACTCCAACACTGAACGGATGCTCGCGTTGCTCACGTCATGTAATCATGTTAGCCATGGCAACACGATAACTGTTTTTAAACGTTTTGTACAAAACAGCAAAAAAATAAATGAAACTTGAACGCTTTAAATACGGAACTATCAATTTCTAAAGTATATAAAGCAGGTATATTATTTTGCTTTCTATGGGCTTTATTTTAATGTACAATTCAACACGAAACACTTCGTAAAACGTCTTTAAATGTGAATTGAAATTACCTTATTTTTTGCCGATAAACTCTTCAACTCGAACTTCAACTTAATACTCGCACTTTCAAATGAAATAAATTTAAATCATACAGGACACTAATGAAAATATTTGCTTTCCGTTTTATCATGAACTTCTACAAAAGTTAATTTAACAGTAAGAACCTTTCGCATGCAATGCATAGCCATAGGAAAGACTTGAACAACAAAAACAAAGTATATAATAATACAAAGTCATACATAAACAACTGAAACATACTTGCCTTATGCTTTAGGATTTATCATACTAAATCAATGCTTAATGTTTACGTTTAAAAATTGTAAAAAAGTTTTACATTTTGTTATGTGAAACGATTTTCCAAGCTTTCTTCGTGGCTTTCTTACATGTTTTTATGTTTTTGCCTCCTTCACTCCTGGCAAACAGCTATGTTTTGAGATCAGTGAGAAGACCACCCACACACCATGCGCCCGCGATACTTGATGAACTTTTAAACTTCGCTAGTGCGCTCCTTTACTCGGATGTAAATAGTCGGGCGGAATTAGTACCCTCGCCCCGGGCTTACGCCCGGAACGGCGCTCCGCGCCGTTGGCTGGGGGATTAAAATTTTGCAAATGTTTCAGACTTTGCGCCTTGCCCTAGCTCACGCGATCATGTTTATTCATTTTTACAAATGCACATATCATGAGACGGTCGAGATGTTTGGAAAATCTATTACAGCAAAACATTAAGAAAAAATCAAGAGAGAAAACGGAATGTTATTAAGAATATTAGCTACAAAGTATGTTAGGACCCCCGCACAGTCGCCAATATTTTCGGGAAATTTCTTTTATGTTGGACAATTCATGGAATTAGCTCCCTCCCCCCTCCTTTACTCGAAGGAAAAAATAAATTTGTTTTTCCATCACTGCGCTGTAATGGTAACTTTTTTGGGGTATAAATGTGGACAATATTGCGTTGCCGTGTCAACCGTACAAATTAGAATTATCAAAATTATTGCATTATAGTGTTGAGCGCATATCGTGTGGAGCTTTCGACAGTTGAGAATTGTATATGCAAGATTAAAGCTGATAATCATTTATATGTTAATTGATTTTTTATGATTGTAGACATTGATGAATGTGATGGTAATACTGACAACTGTAGCGGTAATGCTACATGCCAAGACACAGAGGGTTCATTTGAATGTATCTGCAATGCTGGATATACTGGGAATGGAGTTACCTGTCAAAGTAGGTGGATCAGAAATTTTGGTTAATTAACAATTATTCGCCGAAGGAGAGGTGATTATCGGTGAATAAAAACCGAAACGAAATCGAGGTTTTTATTCACGATAATTACCGAGCTTGAGGTGAATAATTGTTTTACTATAATTTCATAGGTAATTATTTGGAAAAAAAATAAAAAATGCACATTTCTTCGTCATTTAATTGAGAAAACGGCTTCGGCCCCCTGTTCGAAAATCGCTCAGTTGATTATCCCGTTATAATCACTTCAACCGCAACCAATCACCCATATAATTATACTAATATGTTATATTAACTATAATTAGGAAATAGGGCCTTTTCAATTATGTAAAGGTTGCGCGGATTGGAAATTTTTTAAATAGACAATGCATAAATCTTTATTCCTTATTATCAACGACATGCGTCCCGTCTGATTGCAGTAAGTAATTTCTCTGTGTCAAATTACTCTTAATTGCTACTTCACGAGACTATTTTGTGGCCGCAATACTTTTTCTTTTTTCTTTTCGTAAGCTCCTCATCCATACACGTAGTGATATTAATTTTTTTCTTGAATTAAAATGTTGGTATTTCAAAAACTAAGCCATTTTACAATCGATGATATGTGAGTAAACAAATATAACTTTTTAAAATTTAACTATCAAATAAACTGCACATTTATAATACAAAGAATTGTGCTGAACTTTCATGAATAGTATTATTATTATTATTATTAATATTATTATTATTATTAATAATAATATAACCCAGAACTTTTAAACTTTTGGCTAAATCTAAAAGATTTTCACCTGTATATATATTTTAGCTTTAAATTCAATTCAAGTGGACATCGATAAGCTACCTTTTATTAAGTGAGGTTTATCAATGTATATATAGTATATCGTAAATATCTAATAAAAAGTTTCCATTATTATTATTATTATTATTATTATTGTTATTATTATTACATGTTTTTCACAGCTTTTTTCTTATGCTGGCTATGTTTTTTCCTTGGAAGCTGGCTACAACCAGCAGCCTCAGGTCCCAAAGATTTTAGCTTTCCAAGCTTCTTCTCAGTATTCTTGCCGTCCCTAACAATGCTGTTTTTGTAGAAGTTCTATTCTTATATGTGTTCCCAATTTCTCAATCCACTTATCCAGTTTATTACTAACTGCTCCTAAGGCACCTACTACTATTGGAATGACTTCTCCTTTTTTCATTGCCCATATTTTCCGAATTTCCCTTTTCAACTCCTCATACTTTTCTACCTACTCTGTTTCTTTTATACCAATTCTACAGTCCCCTGGAACTGCGATGTCTATGATCTTGCATTCCTTTTCCTTCCTTAAAACCACTACAATATCAGGTCTTCGACATTCAATCACATGATCGCACTGTATGTAAAAATCCCAGAGAATCTTTACATTATCTGATTCAATAACTCCGCTTGGTTGGTGTTCATA